ATCATTGGTCTTCCTTGTGTGGCCAGCCTGTACCCTGAGTCATATTAGACTATCTGGTGATCCAAGGCCCCAGGCAAATAATGACTGTCTTATCAAGCTTGATATTCCAGGGGTTTAGAGATTACCTCCTAGAAGCCAATGGAAAAGTCGAGACCTCTCTTCGGATAATGCTAATTCTTCACTATACAACTCTTTCATCAATTTCTACTTTCTCCCTGGGACAATCTTTATTGGACTATGTGTTATAGAAAAGGGTCATCTTACCATTTTGGAATTTAGTGCCCATTCTTGTGTCTGTAACTAGAAGAGGAAAGGAAGCTTTCCTGTAGAAGTCTTTGGGTAATCCAACTTGTGGAACATACAGAATATTGATCTGTCCTGCTCTCTGACCTACTTCTGGTCATTTCAGTGCATATCAGCACCTGTCTCAGCAGACCACAGGCCAGGTAGAGAGAATTCTGAGTAGTTGGTTCTGTTTGTTAAATACAGCCCAAGGTCTGGGTAGCAGCTGACTTAAATGATTCTGAGGATATACTCCATAAATTTGGAGCTAGCTTAATAGGTAAGCTTCAGAATTAAAGGAAAAGAATATCAGAATAGTGCAATTTACGTGTGACAAAAGTTGTATGAGGATATGTAGAGTTTTTTCCTGAAAGAAATCACAGAATACATGGGGAAGTAAAGGTATTTTGAATGTCAGGTACAGGACCACTTTATGCTTTGTAAATACTGACTTGAAGACTGTGTAAGATACGATGATTCAGTAATCGTAAATTTAATAAAACCTAGAGGTGCTCTTTGTGAACAAGAATTACAAACAGGGTTGGGACCTACAGGCTAGAAGTGACTACTGTCAATTTGCTTCTTTCTCCCCGGCAATCCCATTTTCTGTCTCTGTGTTTTTTGCTTCTCATTCACTCACTATCGTCACTCCCTCTAATAGTGGACCCCATGGCTGAAAAACTATGTGTAAATTGAATTTTTGCAAATAGAAGTCTTATTCTAAAATTGCTGGAGGAGCTCACTATCAGTATGAATTCTGTTAAACAGTTTGACAAAGTGAAAGATGTTTTTGAAACACTTGATAATCACCTAATTATTCAGCCAGATTTTTCATAAAATGTCTTTTATGGAATGAGCTTTTCCATGGAAGTGAGGTTTCTAAATAAACAAAACTTACATCTTAAAGCTTCAAAGATTGTTCTCTTGTAATCATTGGTGGGAATCTTTGAGAAATATATGCTGTATCTTACTACCTCTTAACAGAGAATACTGTATTTAAGGGTTTTTTTGGTAATTCATATTTATTATAAGGATTTATGGGACCTCTGCCTTTCCCTGCAGTTGAAGATATCACTCCAGCTTGTCATTTCTTTTGTACAGTCCAGTATTTGCATTAGCTGGAGCACTCACTCAAGCAGTTTCATGAGTCACGTTTGCTTTATATCTCTAGAGCATATGGGGAGTTTTTTCATATGATTGAACCCAGCCAGCTTATTTAATTATCTAAAACATCTTTCTCGCCAAGAAGCTGCACTTTCTTAGACATCTTCATGTCTTTTATCAACTCTAGCACCTGCCCCTTTCTTTTCAGTGTCATTTTCACTAAGAAGAAATTTTTTTTATCATTTTGCTTATTTCTGAGTACATGGCAACCTGTACATGACATCAAAGCCAAGTTCAGGTGTAGATGCCAAGCCACCAGCCAGGCTGAGTCTCTGTCAAGTGCCTCACTCACTCTCCACATAGCAGCCTCACCACACATTGTTGAGGCACATGTGTCAGCAAAATTACATGCGATAGACCTTTGGGGCCATTCACACGTAATTGAAACCATGAAAGTAGAATTTCAAAGGCCAGAGGACTTCTGTATTCCACTTTGCTGCAGTTCAGCAGCATTGTCAGGCTGCCCTTGAGTATGTAGAGCTGTTTGCCCCTGCATTAAATGGTACCTGATTGTTACATATTTTCAATTCTTTCATCTGCTTTTCATGGCTTTTTCTGTCTGTACCCTTCCCAGACAGGTGTTTCTCTTTGCTTTGTGTACCTTTAGCAGTCCTTCTTTTCATTCAGATTTTATAATACCTAATCTGCTCAGTTTGGAGGCCAGTCCACAAAGAATGTTACAGTTATATTTGCGTGAAAAATCATTAGACCTAGGGCCCTGTTGTGAGTAAAGCATATTAATACAGAGATGGAACTGATCTCGCTCCAGATAGGTGAAGGTGGTGAATAAGTGACTGCCAGAGAGCACGATATTTGGGATATGCTTGTTACATTTAGCATTATACTACAGTGGTATTGTTTCTTTTATTCCTAAAGTAGTTACTATTCCTTTTTTTTTTCCATAGGAGCTTCCATGTACCAGTCTCAAAAGTGAAGGTATGACTGGAAAGGGGCTTGAGGGAACTTTCTGGGGTAAAGTTTTACATCTTGATAGGGGGATGGATTATGTATCTGTCAAAATTCAGTGGAGGTACACTTAAGATTTGTGCCCTTAATTATATGTAATTTTTTGCCTCAAAAGAAAAAAAACATTGAATTCTAGTTAATGAAATGCTGAGAAATATAAGGAAAATATATTCATGTGTGTAGTTTACTTTGAAAAGCATCCAAAATTAAGATAAACTGATGGGTGGATAGAAGAATGGATAGTTATGTGAAGAAGTAATTAATGGTAAAATCTAGGTAGTGGACACATATAGGTGTTCACTGTAAATTTGTTTCAACTTTTTTTATGTTTGAAAATTTTCATAATAAAATGTTGGTACAGAAAGGGAAGGTAAATGACATCTAATGAAACAAAATTTTTACAAACTGACTCTGATGCTTGATCCCCTTAAGGCTTGATAGGACCATTGGATACGTGAACAGGGCAGCCTTCTTAACCTTGAGGCATAGAATAGTGTCTCTTCCTTTGTCCTTGATCCTGATATTCCACTTTATTATGGTTCCATCCCTGCTTTGGTAACCATTACATAGTCTTTGTTTAAACTGCTTTAAAACCATTTTGGAAAAGTGATAGAAGATAAACTTGTACAAAATAAAAGCTCTTATTCTGGTCAAGAAGAAAGCTATTATTATATAGGATGCTCCTGGCTACATGTATCTAAAAACCCAAGGAAAGGTGACTTGAGCTATAAGAGGGTTTACTGTCTCTCATGACGGAAAGTCTGGAGGAAGAACAAGTCCAAGGTTGGTTAGTTCCAAACCCAATGATTCCAGGACTCCAGTTCAGCTTCCTGCAGTTTTCTTGGTTTTCCCCTCATGGGTATAACTTAGCTACAGCAATTTCACACATTGAGTTCTCTCACAACAGCAACTAAAGAAAAGAAAGGAAGATTCTTAATCTTCTCTTCCTTCTGTATAGCACAGGGAACTATATTCAATGTCTTGTAGTAACCTATAATGAAAAGGAATATGAAAACAAGTATATGGATGTATATGTATGACTGAAACATTATGCTGTGTGTTGTAAACTGACTATATGTCAGTTAAAAAAAAAAAACAGCAGGGAAAACAGTCCTGAAAGACCTTCAATACACTTTGTATCACATGCTCCTGCCTAAACCCTTCACTAAAAAGGGGAATGAAATTACCACGAAAGGCTAGCCTATTCAGCATTCACCCCTGGAACTGAGGAGCACATGGGTGCCCAATATCTGGACAGAAGTAGGGATCTGTTAGTCTGAAGAAGGTAGAGAATGGCTGAATATCTGCCTCAAATATATGAATATTTGACATAACCAGAATGTATCTTCTCAAAACCACAGTCAAAATTTTGGTTATTAAATACATAATTTGAAAAACTTACAACATTAATATAATTTTAAAGTAAAAAAATTAATTAAACAATATAAAGCAAAAAGTAGAAACACACCCTTACCTCATTCTCCCCTCCTAGTTCTACTGCTTTGATGAAACCACATCATTAGTTGGTTGGGTATGAGTCCAGATCTTTTTCTGTATTCATACAGGTGTATGCACGTGCTATTATGCTTTTGTTTTTGCCCTAAGCTTAGGTTCTTACTAAACATACTGTCTGGAACTTGGGTTTTCTTCCCCTCGATAATATATCAAAGACATTTTTCCATGTCATTGTGTGCAGCTCTCTCTCTTCGGAGTATTCCGTATGTGGATATGCCATAGTATAGTTCAGCCATGCCCATTTGGTGGTCATTTACCTTCCCTCCAGTTTTTCCCTGTTACAGATAATGCGGTAACCGTCTTGTCCCACTTTTTTAAAGTTTGTGATGAAAAATTTCAATCATATGTAAAAGTAGAGAGACTAGTATAATGAATCCCTGCATACCTGTCACCCATCATCAATGGTTGTCAGCATTTTGCCTGTCTTGGTTTATCCATTGCTCCCTTTCCTATTTTTAATTTTCACTGAAGTACTTTGAAAACAAATCCCAAATATTTCACCCATAAATGCTTCAGCACCTTTATTGAGATAAAATTCACAAAACAAACAGTAAAACATTTTAAAGTGTATAATTCAGTGGCATTTAATACCTTCACAATGTTGTAAAACTATCACCTATGTCTAGTTCTAAAATATGTTCATCACCCCAAAAGGAAACCCTTTGTTTATTACATTTTCATTCCCCACTCACTCCTCCCCCCATCTTTAAGGTTCATCCACTTTGTAGCATGTGTCAGTACTTCATTTCTCTTTATGACTGAATAATATTCATTTATGTGTATACTACAGTTTGTTTATCTGTTCATCTGTTGATGGACATTTGGATTCTTTCCTTCTTTTGACTGTTGTGACTAGTGCTGCTGTGAAATATCTGTATGCAAGCTTTTGTTTGAGTACCTGTTACAAATTCTTCTGGGTACACATCTAGGGGTAGAATTGCTGGATTATATGTTAATGCTAGGTGGAATTTTTTAAAGAACTGCCATATTGTGTTTTTTTTTGTTTTTTGTGTGTTTTGTTTGTTGGGTTTTTTTTTTGTTTTTTTGTGTGTTTTGTTTGTTGGTTGGTTTGTTTGTTTTGCACCATGCCTGGAGGTACTGTAATATGAGGTTGACACATGGACTGGACAGAGCAAGTTCCTATTCCAACTCCCTGCTCCAAAAATCCATTTAATATATTGTCCTCAGATAGAGGACGTATCAGATACTGAATCAGATACTACGCTTGATCTTAGCCCAAAGGCCAAGAAGCAACTGCCATATTGTCTTCTACGATAGTTACATTATTTTACACTCCCACTAGTAATGTATGAGGGTTTCAGTTTTTCCACATCCTCTCCAACACTTGTTATTTTCTGTTTATTATTATTACTATTATTATTATCACCATCCTAAGTGGGTATGAAATGATAAAATTATTGTGGTTTTTACTTACATTCCCTAATAACTAATGATGTTGGACTTTTTTTTCCATGTACTTGGCCATTTGTATATATGCTTTGGAGAAAAATCCTTTGCCCTTTTTTTAATTGAAATGTCTTTTTATCATTAAATTGCAAGAATTCTTTATATGTTTTGGATCCTAGACCCTATGAGATATATGATTTGCAAATATTTTCTCCCATTATGTTGTTGTCTTTTTCACTTTGTTGATGGTGTCCTTTGATCACAAAAGCTTTTAATTTTGATCAAGTTTAATTTATGTTTTTTCTTTGGTTGTTTGTGCTTTTAATATTCTGGCTACTTTTGAAAGTATATCTGTAGGAAGGATTCCTTAAAATGAAATTGCCACTTAAATTTTTGATAGATGCATATATACTCGAAAAGTTTATATTCCTATCCACTAAGTGTTTATGTACCTTTTTCTCCACACCTTTACCCATATCACTTACTAATCAGTCTTCCTATTTTCTTCTCTTTTCCTTCTAGTTTTGTTGAGTTATAATTGACATATAGCACTATGTAAGTTAAAGCATATAGCTAATAATCTGACTTACGTCATGAAATTATTATCATAAGTTTAGTGAACATTTGTCACCTCATGTAGATACAGAATGAAAAAAATAAAAAAGAATTTTGTGTGTGATGAGAACTCTTAGGATTTACTCTCTTAACAACTTTCATATATAACACATAGCAGTGTGAATTATATTTATTGTGTTAGACCTTACATCCCCAATACTGATTTATCTTATTATAATAACTGGAAGTTTGTACCTTTTGAACTACCTTCATCCAGTCCGACCCCCCCGCCTCCTTTTCTGGTAACACGTCTGATCTCTTTTTCTGTGAGTTTGTTTGTGTGTTTTTTTTCAAGTAAAATTGAGCTGTAGCACTATATTAGTTCCTGTTACAGAACATACTGATTTTTTTCTGTACATTTCAAGATGATCACC